TAGCAGAGAGAGCGTGGTGTTGAAGGGGGCACAGCGATGAAAGTCGCATCAATGCACAAATCAACGGTCAAGGAAGGGGTGCCGTTTCTCGGGTTCCGGGCCGAAATGGTTCCTTCTTCATCCCTGCTCCACTGACCCCCTCTACCCTTATTTCCAATGAGCTAAGTTTTCATCGTAGATTTTGCCTGCAATGATATGAATGGAGGCATTGTTCATGAACTAATATTTTATATTTTTTCGGTATAGATTGCCGAAGAGCAGGGCCAAAAACATGCTAAAATTCGATCACTAGCGAGTCTCTGTTGACGGAAAGGCGGCAAATTTTCTCTGTTTGAGATTTCTATACAGTTTCTTGAAATATTCTTACAACTCGCATCTCATGCAGTAGACATCTTACCGTAATCGCGGCCAGTCGGAGATGATCGCTTATTACAATCTACGCTCAAGCTGGCTTCAGTTCATTCATTACTCTTCCTAGACTATGAGTACTTTGGTAGTTTTTGAGCCGGATACCAACAGCCGTCTAGCCGAGTTTAAAATGTAGGAATGAGGGCGGTACTTGTTCTACCTTGATGGAGTTCAATGATAAGATTGTTGTGGCCATTTTACGGCCGGTTACATTAATAGTTTACACCTGTCGATTTTTATATCATAAAGCAATTATTAGTTTTAAGCATGTTTGAATCGAAGATGCTTCAATGGGTGTTTTTTATGAGTGGTTATAATAGCTCTGCTGGTGGCAAGCAGGGTCAAGCTTGGTAGCCCGGAAATTTTTCCTTGTACGACACCCCTGCACCACCCCTTGCGACCTTCATTCCGACCCGTCAGAATTCTATCTAGCCGGGTTGTATATCTGAAACTCGGGCGATGGCATTCCATAAAGCAACACTTCCAGGTCGAATTTGTGGGGTCACAGCGGTTGATAATGAAGTTGTGGATGCCGAGTTGACTAAAAATGAAAAAAGAAGCAAAGAAAACCGTCGATGAAGCCCAAAACAAAATTCCCTTGAAAAAAGGAAGGGGCGGGGCCGGACGAGTTGTACGAACTTGCCTGCTCCACGGCTCAACTAACCCGCGCGTATTTGAATTAGCCGCTACGCCGTAATCCACGTGTCATGGGGTGTGCGCTACGTAACTCGTCCAAATGCTAAGATTAGTCGCCAAATGCTGACTTTGTAAGACCCTAGCGCCATTGTCGCGCACTTTCGAGCCGCGACAACGGCACATCTGTGCTACTCGTGGGCTACTCTATCCCACCCACTGAATAGATTCTTCGACACGACTTCTGCTGAGGGTGTTGCTTTAGTCCTCCAAACCTTTTAAAATTTCTTCGAATTGAAGACGTCTTCGGGAAAAAACTCTTTTGAGCTGACCTTTGGGCAAGCCGCCTACCCCAACAAACTGCCGATAATCCAATTGTGCGGGTACGGACTCCGCGACCCGTGCTTGGTCGGGAATCTGTACTTTTCTTGAAAAAGCTAACATGTATAGCAGAACCTACGGAAAAGAAGTCATGACTGACGAGTAAATTGTTCGTCTAGTGGGATCGAACCGGGAGGGTGGGGGGGGCATGAGGGAGTAGTATTGTACGATTCGATTTCACGGGGAACTTGTTTGTTGGAAAAGTCTCGTAGGGAAGATAATGGAAGGACTTTTGTTAATAATTGAAGGTATACTATTTAAAGATGTGTTATAGCTTTTGGAGGATGTATGGGAGTTGTGACAGTTTTGGATAGGCCGAGCAGTTGGCCAACCCACATACATACGGGGTCGTCCAGGGACCGACAAAGGAAAGATTAGGTAGCAATCTCTCATGTCGCAGCCGGGCTCACCTATCCACTTTGTGCTCTTAGCCCTTCCTGATCGGGGCAAATTTTTCATGAGGCTGCACTTTCAGCGCGCCATTTCTAGCGTTTTGGGCTAGTCCCACATTTTGTGGGTATTTGTCAATGTCAGCGTCTGCTAAGTTTTTTAACTGCTCATTACCGTAGTCTAGCAACGTGCAATTTTTGGTTTTTTGTTGCCTGGTGCAAATGCTGTGCTGTGTTGAGTGTGCTGGGTACAAGTGTATGTTGTGAACAAGACGTTTTTCAAATATTCGTGGAAATTTACTGACGGCGGTGGGGAAGGCCACGCCCATGTGGCCGCTCTCCTGGATCGCTGCGTCGGCTGGGCGCATGGGGCATCTCATGGTCGTCGCTCGGTGCCCGGCGGATGCCACGTCGTAGAGTCTCATTCCATCTGGACAACGACAATTCCAGATCTCAATCTCATCATGCCGATCTCGACAGCGTGGAAAAATTGGTGAACAGCTACTCGTTAGAACGACAACGGACCAATCGTCGTAGTTATGATGGTTAGCCTTCAAGTTGTGATTGTTTACTTTGTTTTGTTTACGTGTATTTGGTTCACATTTTTTATTTCCTTGTTCTAATTAGAAGTATGGAGAGGGCAGGAAACCCCTCATTGGGAATTTACTGATTTGATGTGGGTGTTGAGAACTTACCCAGCTTGGGTAGGTGCCGTCCAGGTAGTTTTTTCACAAGCGGCTACAGCCGCTTTCAAATGGCGACTTTTCATCTTGCTTCTTCCCACCTCCCCACCCCATCCCCCTTCCATCCCCTTCCCCTTTCAGGGTTTTCCCATGTCATCCCAGTAGGATGTGTCTAGCCTTCCTGGCCAGATATGGCCATGAGGGGTAGATGGAGAGCAAAGGCTGGCCGAAAAAATCCAGCAGCATGTGGTTCCTAGTCTCTGTAACCCAGCGCCGAACGAGCCGGCTCCGCAGGGCAATTGATTGACAGCCAAAAAGGTTTGAAGAAACGCCTTGACAACTGTTTTGCCATGGGCGTTCGAGGATATCGATCGAAACCAATTCAGTTGTGAGTTCACTAATGGGCGGGTCAGATTTTAGCACCCGGTAAATCTCAGTCAATAGCTAAACGATGTGGTGTATGCCATTGATTCAACTGCAAGGTAGCCTTAAACCAGCTGAACAAGCAGCAATTCATGGATAGCAGCGGGCTGTCGAGCCGCATAAAAAGCACTGTTCTCAAACATAAACAGCTGTCTTGTGACGAAAGCCGATGTGGTCACGTAGAGGGTGCATTTTTGCTTTGCAGGGGGATACTTGGTGAAGGTGCAGCGACTAGGGTGGGCATAGTGAAGGGCTGTTTACAAGGTTCTCAGTAGCTCAGGATGAAAGCGACTTGGGTGGCCATCAAACGGGGTCATAGTAGTGTTACTGGTGACCCGTGAACTTTCCTTCACCTTTCATCAATGGTTGGTTTCATGCGCTACTGGCCTCGGCGTTCTGGGTTCTCCAACGTTTGGGCTGCACGTAAGAAAATTGGCATGATGGAGGCAGTGCTGGGCTGGGAGGCAAAGGGATTATGGCCTTGAGATGCTCATTTGAAGCGATTAGGGTTGAAAAGCGGGATCCTGGCGCTGTTGTCCTTTTAATACTGGGCTTATGGTTTCAACCACAACCTTCGAATCCTTTTTGG